AAGTGGATCTGAAAAATAAGGTTGTTCTAAAGTGACAACTACAGAGATTTGCCCTCACTTTTTGGAAAATGTTCCAAGAGATTTAGGGGTCTAAGGAAAATGAATACTTAATTCTCAATGGTTTTGGCTGAGCTTTTGATTTTTTTTTTTTTTGGTATTGGGGTTTGAACTCAGGACTTTATGCTTTCGAGGGAGGCGACAGAACCACTGAGCTAAATCCCCAGCCCTTGGCTGAGGTTTTGTAGCAAAAGCATTTTCAAATGGGGTAAAGTCCAATCAGAAGTCTTCTTTTTTGTTTGTTCCTTGATCACTCAGCAAAGATTAAGAGGTTTCAAAGGTTGAGATTTTAACCCCTTCTCCTTCTGCTGGTTCAAAGTATAGTAAGTTGAAAACCTCAGCAAACAACAAAACAAAACAAATTAAAAAAACAAAAGTAGAGGGCTGGCGATTTAGCTCAGTCATGCTGCTGCGTGCCTCAAAAGCTCAAGGTCCTGTGTTTGATCCCCAGTATGGAAGAAAAAAAAAAAAAGTAGAGGGTGGTGGGGTGTGTAAGAGATTTTCTTTCTTTCTTTCTTTTTTTGTAAGAGATTTTCAACAAAAGGAGCAGACAAGGCAGGGAATATATAGCACAAAACTCCGTAGGAGGGAATGAGTCATGAAAAATGAAAAAAAAAAAAAATGGAATCACCTCTGGTCTTTGTTGACAGCTTCAGAAAACATTGAGGGGAAATTTGATGGATTCGTTTAACCAATCCAAAGACTTCTGCTCAGATATCAATATCAAGGGGTAAAACAAATCATCTTTCTCCATCTCAAATGTGTGTTCTTTCATAATGTGTTGTGGTGCTAATTTAAATGGTTTTACCCATGGAATAAAATGTGACTGACGAAACAGGTCTCTCACCAAAATCAGTGCAAATTGACAATCCAGTAAGCTTTAGCCCTCTCGGTTTATGAATTAGGATGCTAATGGCAGTTATGGGACCAAATATATTCTTGGGATAGAATGTGCACCAAATTGGAAAGGGAGGGTTGTTGAAGATTAATATTTCTATTTTTTTAGCACTGGGAATTTACAAGTGGTTTATGGCAGTCTATTAATGGTTCGATGTAAAAGACAGGAAAGGAATCCCTCCCCTCCTCCATAGGGACCATTATTCACATTGCATGCCTCTCTTTAGGTTACGTTTGTAACATGAACTCTAAATGTGTCATGTAATCAGCACTGAACACAGGGCAGAGAAAAATCTTGAAGTAATATGTTGAGCAAAATAATTAATCAAAGCTTATTACATTTTGAATACTGAATTCTTTTTTAATTTTGAGGCAGGGTTTCACTAAGCTGACCAGGCTGGGCTTTGCCTCAGCTTCCCAGAGTGTTGGGATTATAGGAATACATACCATGTCCTGTAGCACTGAATTCTTTTTTATCCATAACTCTATTCTGCATTCGCCTTTATATTTTAAAATTTTACTCTACTTTAAAATTTTTTTCCTATTTTGCTCTACATTCAAAATTGCTTTACAGTCTACAACTTTTCTGAAAAATATATCAATTTTCTTCCCTCATCAAATATCTTGGATAGACAAAATAGTTGTTCTAAACATTTAAAAAAATTTTTTTTGTGGTTCTTGGGATCAAACCCAGAGCCTTCCACATGCTATACAAGGGTTCTACCACTGAGCCTAACTCCACCCATTATTTTAAAGATTTTTAAAGATTACAATGCTGAGGCTCAAGGAAGTGTGTTACTAGAGGTCAAAGATACCAGGTATTTAATCTACAGGGTAAATAGGACATCAGTGGTTTACACTGAATGCTTTTCTTTTCTTTTTTTTTTTTTTTGAATTCTTTTTGTTGTTGTTGAAATAGTTTCACTATGTAGTTCAGGCTGGCCTTCAATTCACTTTGTAGCCCAGGCTGGCCTTGAACTCACAGCAATCCTCCTGCCTCAGCCTCCCGAGTGCTGGGAACACAGGCGTGCGCCACCATGCCAGGCCCACAGCTACATATTGATGCTTTAACTTCTTACCTGAAAGAGAAGACTTTCCATCAAGTCCCCCCTACACTTTCTCTTTTTTATTTTTTATTTTTGGTACTGGGGATCGAACTCGGGACCTTGCACTTACAAGGCAGGTGGGGGAACCACTGAGCTAATTCCCTGGCCCTCCCCAGTGTGTTCTTGAGCTGGTGTCATAACTGAACTTTTTAGAGGCACAGTTGATGCCAGCACTTCACATCTGGTCAGTGAGACCCATAGGACTAAATCAGGGTCCCCCAACATTTGTCACCCTCTTCACATAGTCCATGGCTTGGCCATGTCTCAACTACCTAGCATAACTCTGTTTCCAGCTTCTGAAAGGCTATTTCCATTGTTTTGTATATGTAACATGGGGAGAAATTGATCCTTTTAACCAAGAAAAGGGAGTGGGTTGTTTTCCTTCAAGCACTGTGTGGACATAGAAAGGCTGTGTATGGCTGACACCTACTGCACAAAGAGGGAGATGGCATGGGGAAGCGCTGCTTGAAACAGCTAAACAAAAACACCTTCATCTTCTCTATTGCTTCTTTCAAACAGCACATAGAGTTGTTAACACAAAACAACAGGGCACAACGTCCATCCACTACGTTGCAGTTTCCCCCAGAGCCAGTGGGCAGGACTTTATTCTTTTTTTTTTTTTTTTTGGTACTGGG